TGTCATCACCAGTATTGCACAACAATCTTATGCATAGAACAATTCTATCACTAGAATCATTATCAATTGGGTGTGGAAGAACAGAAGATTGTCCTAATTGCAGCATAGAGACAATGATCAGCAATGTTTGCGTGGTTGCTTTGTTAACTTCAACTTTTGATGGCTGCACCTCCTGCAATCTCAGAACAAGTTTAGTCAGCGTGCAAGCAACAACAGCCCCGAGGAAAAAATCGCCGGTGAGGAGAAGAGATCTGAGATTCCCCGAAGCCAATGATCCCTGAACAACAGTAGGAGCAGAGAGAGCAGTTTCAGAGGCAGCACTCTGGGTTGCATAAGTACCATCAGCAAGAATAGCCGGTCTCCTCGAGGAAACAGTAATGGAGTTTGCTTGCGGAGTTTTCTTAGAAGAATCAGTACCTTCCCCTTCCTCAGAAACAGAGTAGAAAGGTAGCTCTCCGAGGCACTGCTTGATGGTTTCTATGCCATTCTCAACTTCGGACAGAGATAGGCAATACTCTCCGATAATCCAAAGGGCACAGGAGCAAACCCGAGCAGCTCGGATCTGATAGAATGTATCCAATAGCCTTGTTATAATGGACACCCTAAGTTTAGGGTTGGTCTCAATTATTTCTCGAACAAAAATCACAACATCAATAGCTGAAGCAACATTATTGTCACCCAAGAAATCCATAAGAAGATGCACAACTGTGCTTGCAACTTCTGGGAACTTGATTGCACAAGAATGAATAGCTTGAATGAGCATTTGTCTGTATTCTCCATTCTTCTCAAGCTCTCCACTTTGAGTTTTCACAACTTCCTTCTTCAACATAAGAACAACCTCATTGATATTTCGGGGAGTTATTAACTCAAGAACAATATCAAGTGTCTTCCTCTGGATGTCAAGATTTGGACTCGAAAGTGCCCTAAGCACATCCATGATCAAGTCAACCATGATATCTCTATGAGAAGACTTCAGCTCGTTCAGCCTATCTAGTACAATAAGCTTGACATTGTTGTCACTTTGAGAAAGAAGAAGCTGACAGTAAGTGTTAGCAGCAGCTCTAATAGCAGTGGGAGCAGATGACAGAGAAACAAGCGTGCTAGCACACTCATAAATAACTGCAGTTGATGGGGCATTCAATAAAGATATAATAATCTTAATATATTTCCCCTTCTCCGCACGATTTGTTCTGCAAACCTTACGGATCAGCTCTAACACGACCATCTGAAGCAATTCACCCCACTCAGAAACCCTATCTACTTGGGTCAAGAGGTAATTAACAGCCCGATCTTGTGCACAAGTAAATAGCATTAGAAATGCATTTCGCTTGGCAGAAGGATCCTGCTCCGTGGAAAGGACCTTCTCAATCATATCAGGTGCATCAACCAAGAGCTGCTCACCTTGTGGAAGCTTATATATCGACATCACAGCTAATATAGCATTCCTCCTAATAAATGGGTGCCGATGCTCCAGATTTTGCAAAACTGAAGGGATTAGTGGCTCAACAATCTCTGTCATATTTAAGCGGCAGAGAAACCGCAAGGTAACACCACGAATATATTCATTTGGATGTTGAAGATTGTTCCTCAAATTTTGGCATATCAATATCATTTCAGGTAATACCCTCCCTTTTGCATCAGTTTTCTCAATTATCTCCAAGTACAGAAGCAAAAGCTTTTGGACTGTGTGATCCTCTGACGGCAAAACATATCTGACAATGGTGATGAAGAGCTGTGGAAGAGTTTCACCATTCAATAAAAGCATAATTGCTTTCTTCATGGCATCAATCTTTGCAGGAACGTCATTTCCTTCAAGTGCTTCTTTAATCTCATTAGCAATTGCAGGTGTTCCTTTGTCAAAGTGAATAAGAAGAGTACAAGACTTCTCCATTTCTAGCTAGTTTTCTGGCAATATAAATAAAATTTGAAATATTCAATCTTCAACAAAAAAAAATATGGTAGAAAATGAGGATTGTCAAAGCTAGGAGTTGAATAAAGACATCTCAGCACAAAATATATGTGTCTATGAAATAACAATTTTAACATTGCAGTTAAAAATCGATCAGAATGTCTGAAAGAGAGAAACATCTTGAACAAAGAAGAATGGTTGCTTCAAAGGTCACAAGCTTGGTTAAAATTTAAATGATAAATTAGCTTTATCAATACTTCATGATAATGGAACGTCATTACTAAATAATTTGCAGACGGAAATTATATAAACAATAACACTCATTAATCAACAGTCTAGGGAAAATCTAATTAAATCTCATACGAAAAAGTTTTATCACAACACACTTTTTGATTGATTGTCCATGCTAAATGGATTATCACACTAAGCCATTCCTAATTCACATAAATAGAACCGATATCTACAACTCTAGATCTCCATGAAATTTTTTTGTTATTTCAGCTTAATTATTAACTAGTAATTACTGTCGATCTGCCTAGTAAAAAATAAGATTTATTAATGTTTGTCTTTTTAATTCCAACACGAGTACTGAATTCATCAATTAAAATAGAACATAACTTATTTAACAAACAAAATACACTATCACAGCATTAGCGCAACGAAAAGAAAAGTGTGAAAGGTAAAACAAATTCAAATCCACAAAGCACAAGTAAATTCGCAGATTATAATTTATTACTGTGAAGGATTCAATCATAAAATAGATAAAACATCAAAACCTAAATCAAACGTTCCACTACAAATTAAAATATTGACAAAAAACAAAACGGAAACAAAGAAGAAAGTAAATCAATAGATCTGGAAATTTTGTAAGAATGAGATAAAGAGAAATGAACCTTTGAGCGATCAGATCAATCGAGAAAAGAAGCCGGTTGGGGAAAGTGAAGCAAGTTTTTGTTTGAAGTTTAGAGATTTGAGGAAATAATAGAATTTTTTTTTTTAATGTAGGAAATTATAGAATTCAAAATAAGGGATTCGGGGTATCTTTTTTCCCTTTGTTTCTTAAATCGAGGGCAATGAGGAAGTCGCACACGCTCAGTTTCACAGATCTAAAGCACATTACTGCGACGTTAGTTATAAACGGGGTATTTTAGGGAAATGAAATGGAAAATAAAAGTATAAATTACACCATTTATCCCTAAACTATATTCCCACTATTATTTTAATCACAAACGTTTCTAATTTTTTAATTTAATCATTCAATTTTAAAATTATTCTTGTTTTGATCACTACATTATCAAATAATTAATGGTGTCATTATATGGCAACCTAGACCAAACACATCATCATTTTAAATTCCTATATAAAACTAAATTTAATTCAAAATGACATTTTGATTTCATAATTATATTTTTTCCCTCATTATCCTTCATTCCTTCTTTCTTCTTCATTCTTTCTTTATCTCAATCCAAATCAATCCAGAATGGATCACAATGTTGATCGCTGTCTTGGTTGCCGCTGGTCAGAGACGAAGGTACGAGGGACTAATGAGGGCATGCCTCCCCCAAAAAGTATTAAAAAGTAATAGATATAATATTATAATTAGTACCTAAGTTTATTAAAATAATCATTTTAACATGTATTCATTTTTGAAGTATTTTGAGTTCAATGTTTTACTTTATGGCATAATATTTCATTGGTGAATGGAAATCGTTAGTTAACAAACGATTAAAAAAATAAGAGTCAAAGTCATTATTTAATCAAATGCTATGGTCAAATGCTTAAAAAAATGTTTTAATACAAAAATAAGTGTTTAGACTATATTTAAAATTGGCATTCGGTGTCTAATTTTTTTTTGGATAAAAATGGATACCTAATGTTTTCTTAGTTACACTTTTATGTATATATCGTTAAAAATATTGTTAAGTGACACGTGTCACGTTTATATTTTTATTTTTTTAATAAAAATATAATTTAAAAATTTTTAAAAATATATATATAAATGATTCCTACGCTTATGATGTGTTGTGACGTCGTTGTTGCACCAAGCGATTGATGAGTGATACGCTGCTGGCAGAATGATGCAATAGTTTGTGTTGCACCAAACGATTCCTACGCTTATGGTTATTAAAATGGACGCGTTCAATACAATCAATACATGTGAATTGATCCCTCTTAAGAAAGGATATACCCCCATGAAAAATGATCGATTCCTTGGATTCCAGTGAGTTTGGGATCGATCCTTCTACCAAAAGGATCGATCTCTTGATGAAAAAGACCGATCCCTTCCCTTAAAGGATCAATCCCTTTGTTACAACGGTCAGTTTTTTTTTTTTAAAAATCGATCCCTTTCACCAAATGATTGATCCCTTGTGCATTAAATGATGTTTTTGGTTGCAGGTAACAACAATAATAATCTCTAACAGCTCTAAATGACTAGAATTAATGGATAAAGTATAAATTAAAGGTCCAAGTTTCCCAATGTCAACAAAAATTTGAACGTTGTTGCCCGTCTGCTTGTTAACCAACGTCTAGAAAACATATAGTATTTTTTGAATTTGAACGAACTCGTCACGTCGACGTGATGAGTTCACCATAATTTTCTTCCTTTTAAAATTTTAAAATTTATTTTTTTAATTTTTTTTGAAAAATATTTTTTTAATAAACTCGTCACGCGTGACGAGTCATTATAATGCTAATAAAGTAATAGTTCACGTTGGGTCACTATGTGAGACTAATTAAAAATAATATCCAAGGGAACTCTAGGTGACGAGTTTGGGATGCACGGTAGAAAATGTCATATTCTCCAAAAATAAATTATGGGTAGGCCCAATATATCAAATAATTGATCCGCATGAGGTATTGGGCCAAAAAATCCCGAAGTAAGGGCCAGAGAGAAAATGCTTGAAGTCTATTTAGAAGGTCAAATGGGCCTTGGGAAACCTACTTCTGTGTGCTTTTTATGTTTGCAAATGCCAACACTCCATTTAACAAGAACAAAATTCAAAAGATATTTCATGATCGATCGTTTAGATTGATTTTGAAACTGATACTTCCCATGCTGATTGGAATTAGAAAATCGAACAAGCTCATTCTGTCCTTAAAATTTTAATATATACATATACATATGAAGATGGAAAGAGAAAGGTAAAGATAACTGGGGATGATAACAAGAAAAACTAAAAAAAGATCTATTGAACGACCAATCGCCTTGCACAAAAGGTGCAGTAATACCTCCTCTTGGTCTTAAAATATAAAGGCAAAAAGCAGAACCTCCACTGGCTTTCCACATCCATGGCTTGCACCAGCCCTCCGCAGTAGGGACAAGCTCCTGGTGCCGGCTGCCTCGCTACCACCTGCTCATCTTCATCACACACGAACACCAAGCACATCTTCAATGGTCAAAGCCTGCTCTGATGATTTGTGGAGTTAAAAGTCGTCTTTTTCAGGTTGTTTTCTGGGATTTATTGGAAGAAAACGAGCCAAATAGATTGGAGACGAACGTTTGCTACGATATTTATTGACCAACAGTTTGCTAATTTCTTAGGCATACAAATATATTGGAGAGGAAAAGTATAGGTTAGTCTGGAAAGGAAGAATCGGTGCTTAAAGTCTGGAAGGTTCATTCCAATAACAATCTTATCTCTTAAGAATGTAGAATTTTAGTGCATGACTTTGTCGTCATCGACATGTATGTTTTAAACGCGTTAAATTTCAATATCAACGCTGCTTTACCAATTTCCTATTTCTCTCGATGTTGCTTTCACAATTACAACACCGAGAAAAACCTGATAAAAACATCAGGGCGAGGCAAGGCGAAGTCCACCAGTAAAGAACCAACCCAAGACCAATCGGCACTATGACTTGTGGGCTTTGGGTGCCTTTTTGTGGAGCCCCAATTAAATCTAATGGATATGACAGAGTTCTTTAACCCAGCTTTTCTGTTAATTGATGATAGATGAATGATGATGAACCTACGAACTAGTTGCTATGCTCATAAACAAGTATTTAGACGGTATAATAGTTATTTATGACAGCAAATGCTACTGCAAACATATAAATAAAAGATCATGATCTTCAGATATTGAACCAAAATGCATATAGATCAAGCCAATAACATAAAAATTTGTTCTGATCTTATGATTATGCGTACAACATTGATTTTGATTCTCGGCATTCCAAAACCACACCATCCTCCCCTGAAACACTTGCACAAAATTGGATCATAGGTCAAATATTTCGAATTAAACAATTGTTTTATGCGAACGAACCTTCTGTATGAGATAATAATAATTCATTAAATCTCAAAATAAAACAACATGAAGATCTTAAACATTACTGATCTATGGACTGTAAGATATCATAAATCAGCTCTTGTATTCCTGTATGAACTATTTACCCGTAACAAGGGATGTTTTAGGCATAAAGAACTTGGCAACTCGAAGGAGAGAGGTCGCGGAAAGCCTCTGGGGCAGCCACGACATCCCACTTCGCTATGAATTCCCCGTTTGGTCCCTCAGATGCGCTCCCTATTGCCACGTTTAGCCCACTTGACACCACATAGATTTTCCCTTCCACTGCACTCACAGCGAAGGGCCTCTGTATCGTCTCACGTGGGAACTTGTCGCCACCCACGTACAGCCACTTGTCACGATCGGGAACGTAAACCTTCATCGGACAGTCACCATATTCCGAAATGACAAACAGCCTGTCACACACAACCACGCTCACCCCGCTCCAACCTTCTTTCATCCCGTCCTTCATTTCCTGCCACGTGTCGCTCTCCGGGTCGTACACCCCTCCTCTCGGTGAAAACAAGAAAGGCCACGTCCACCCCTCCGTCACGTACATCTTTCCCCCAACCACAGCCGAATCGTACCTGGCCAACCTCACGCGCATTTTAGAAACTTGCTCCCACGTGTCAGTTTGTGGATCATAGGATTCTACGCAGGTGTTCGAATCATTGTACTCGCCCCCACTTCCACCGACAGCAATGATCTTACCATTGACATTTCCAGCAGCGAAGAAAGATCGTGGGGTCACCATGGGAGACGCTATGGACCACTGATTTGTGGATGCGGTGTAAACCATCGTTTTATTGATGGAAGTTTGTGTGTCTGATCATACCGCCTAAAACGTAGAGCTGGCCTTGACGTGTATTCGAAGCACAAGTAAACCCCGGTGGGCACACAGCCTTGGGACAAGGCATCGAAGGTAATACAAACCAACGGTTTGATCGCGGGTCCAGCGCTTGCCATTGTATCCTGGCCGTCGATTTATGGAAAGCGAAGATGAACAGATAAGGCAGAGAAAGCGATAATGATCTCTTACAGACAAAGAAGCCGGGGTCTGTTATGATCCTGTTCCAGGAGCAACACACTGATCGTGCCAACGACTGGTATGGATATGGAAGATGAAGAAGACAAAGCTCTGCGATCTCGTCGGGTAGCCCTGGAATCAACGCCTCCTGTTTCTCCTGATGTTCTTGTCCGTTCTTGTCTTGTTCCTCGCCCGAAGAAGACTTGGAAACAGCCATAAATCTGTGAAGCTCTCGGCGTACACTAGAACTAAGCAGAGCACAAGTCCAGGAATATCATCAGAGCACGGTTCAGACTTCTTCTATTCACATATATATATATACAACCCTAATTTTACTTTAAGGAAGCGTGATTAGGGGGCAAGTGTTGACTGTGAGAACCCAAATTTGCAGAACGAACTTGTAAAAAAGTAAAAGAGTTTGGAGCTCGACTATTTTAGCGGTTCCCTTCTTACCATTTTTGTGAAGAAGAGGAAATAAGGGAGAGAAGTTGATTTGTTTTGGTTGGTTTGTGTGTGTTGGGTAGTTGGCTTATAATTAGGGCGTAAATGAGACGAGACAGATCGCGAGTTATTCGAGATTGACTCGATCAAAGTTCGATAAATACTCGGATCGAATGGACTCGACTCGAGCTCGAACTCGACTCGAGTTCTTAACGAGCCGAAACGAGCTACTCGATATTCGACTCGAAAAACTCGTGAGCAGCTCAAAAATATAATATATTAAGATTTTATTTTTTTAGAAATAAATTTTTAATAATATTAATATTTATGTATTGATTTTTTATAAAAAAAATATAGTAAGATTTTTTGTATTTAAGGTTTATGTTCGAGTTTGAGGCTTCAATCGAGTTAAGTTTAATAAATTTTTTTTCATTTCGAGCCTTTTCGAGCTATTCACGAGTTTCAATTTAGGATTTCGAGTTCGAGTCGAGTTTGAAAATTTTAAACTCACGAGTTTTCGAGTCGAGCTTCATTTCAAAGTTTTCGAGTCGAGTCGAACTCAGCAATACTCGACTCGACTCGTTTACACCCATGCTTATAGTAACCGGAATATTAGGAGAAGCGTTATATCAAGAAAATTCAAACAAATTAGAGACCAAATGAATATAAGGAATTAAACAAAAAGGATCTCGATTCCCAACTTGAAAATGTCACACGAATAAAATAACTTAAACTAGAAGACGGGCATCTGCTTTCTGGTAACCACAGCTTTCAAGAAATTAAATGATTTAATATAAAATTAAGAGTTCATACTATATAGTATTTATTTATTTTATTAAAATAAATAAAATAAATAAATATCTAACAATTTATTTAATTTAAATGAATATTTTAGATGTCAACTGATGATGGCTAATATTCTGATTGATTTGATATAATTATATTAAAGTTGTAACTGAAAAAAAAAACTATCAAATCGGATATAGTTGAAAATGCATCTCCTCGTATTCAAAGAAACAAACCATGTAGTAATTAGTAGAAGAAACCGATTTAATTAATCAGAAAAACTAATTTCTACAATAAGTTGGGTAGTAGGTGAGGAGTGAGACTGATTGATTGACTAATAAAACAAGTTTAAGAAAAATAATTGTTAGAATTGAAATAAGATCGTTTATGTATTATATATATGTTATGTAATGTTATAAGTAAGTAATAATCTCTTTAATCAATGAGTATGTATGACAAAACGTGATACCAACTTTACCTGCTGTTGCGGCCGCTTTCATTTGAAAATTAGTCTGCACTACACTTAACGATGTGTATGGGATCCTAATCCGACCATTTGGGTCGGGTCGGGTCGAATTTTATAGGAATTGTATTCGGGTTAGTTTTGGTTCTGTTTTAGGATAAAAATATCCGACCCGATCATAAAAAATATAATTTTACCTTATATATTTATGAATGATTAAAATAATACCTTTACATATTTTTTAATTAAAATTATATTTTTATTAAATAAAAATAATTTTTTAATAAATGTTTTGTCATAACTATTTAAAAAAATTATGACTTTTTTATTTTGAAAAATTGATGGTTTTGAATTAATTTGAATTAAATTGAAAAGGAGTCGCCATCGACCTTTGGGTTAGGTAGGTTGAATACCTAAAAACTTCTTTTAAAACATATTTAAGAAGAAAAAAATCGTTTTTTAGACAAAAGTTGGTCTGCATAATCAAAGATTCAATTTAACGGTTCAGGAGTCGGTTACACGTAGGGAAGGATTAGCACCCTCACATCGCCCAAAATTGGTACTCGATCGCTTACACGTTGTCCTAAATGGTGGAAATAATAAATCGAATATAAAGTTAAAATATGATCCGTTTATTAAATATTGATTAATTTGCTTCGAATTGATTAGTTAGAGAAAATTCTTTAACTTGAAAATAAATCTCGATATTAGTAATTCTCCATCGGGAAAACTATATCGCCTATTTCTTATATGTAAAGAATATTCCCTCGCCGATGATTTAAAAAAGCGAATAGAATATAAATGGAGAATCGACAACTGCGTAGAATAAATTACCACATAAAAACACATTGAATTATTTTTAAAAAAAGATTTAATTAGTAAAATAAACTAGATTTATTTCAAGTTCCCACTTCGTTCAAATGTAGTATCGGATCGTATCACTTTAACCAAGTGATACTTTCCACGCTCATTCTACAAATCGAGTTCTTGAAATTATTCGAATAACATTAATCGTTAAGGAAATACAATAGAAACAAATACGATTGTAAATGTAAAAAAAATATTTACAATGTAAAATAATAACATTTATTTAATGTTATACATAAAAATATACATGTGAAATATGTACATTCACAAGGGACTAAAACAAAACAATAAAAAATTTACAGATCAAAATGTAAATAAACAAATAAACATATTTAAAAATGTAAGGGACCAAAATGGTATTAACAAAAATTGAGAGGCTGAACAGCAAATACAAACAAACCAGAGCCAAGCTCGAAAATATTACACAATACAGATACTAGAGATGAAAATAACCCATAAATAATATAAAGGACTGAAATGAAATAAGCAGAAAGATAAAGGGCCAAACAATAATTAAACTAA